AAATATATATTAAATTATTATTAAATACAATACCATCTGTGTCAACCTGGTGGACAATTCTGGCAATCCCGTTAATAAAAAATATTCAAATGTTTGTTCTTAATTTTCGTCCGGATTAAAATAGAAGCTTACCTGAAAATCAACGTTACGCATGTATTGTGAATATAATGCAATTTTATTGATATTATACTTTAATATTTGTTTACGCTAAGTTTATTAAATATCGTTGAAGTTAAGCAATGATGCATTTCACGCGCACACAAACTTCTTTTCATTAATAAAACAATATTATCACGATTCTTGAAATCATCTGAAATCTCTCCGAAAAATGAAAAGAAAAAGAGAAAAAGGAAGAGAAACAAATAAGAGAGGCAAAATCAAGATAGATAGTGGAAAGAGGAGAAAGCAAAGTACATATTGCTGTGGTTCAAAGATTAATGTGCTTCTATCAGTCAGTTAGGTGCCATGCAGATTTTTCCCCGCAGGAGGTTGCCAATTCTTTCTACGGTAAATCAGTTACCATCCAAGGCTATAGAACCCGGTCTGTTCTGCTATTTACCCATAGCTAGAGGTGGGGTAAGAAGAGGACTTATACTTTTCCCATGTAAGTGAATGTAATGGATTCGACTACAATTCGAATTTCGAATGTGCTTCTATAGCAAACACTTACAGCAGTGTACTGAGTTAAAATCACATTGGGTACTCCACATTTGCTGCTATGAACTTATTTTTGTAATTATCAATTAATATTGTGTAGTGTATTTAATTCAAATTAGTTTTCTACTGTTCTCACCACGTGTCAATCTATATTATTTAAATAAGGATATAGATTATACCTGTAAAATGTTTACAGAAAAAGGTGGACATCAGTTTCGTCGGTTGTATGCAAAACATGATTACATTTATGTTTTAATAAACTTAGTTAAATTCGATGATTGAAATGTGTCAATCGAATTTTTTGTTTCTTTATCAACTCTTTATGAGCCATTTCATGCAAGAATTTAATATTTTTGGAGCTTTGGTAATTTGTTTTTTAATATTAAAATCTATTGCTGAACTTTTGTTTTACTCTTTTGTTTGCATTTCTATACATTCATAGTGTTTTTATCTCGGTTTTATCTCATTATTTGTCAAATAGCTGGGACCCTAACAAGTGCTACCACCCCAGATCAAGAATTTAGAGGTGGTTCCACGCTACTCAAAACCCGCGATCAAATCCTTGCTGCTGGATGTAGTTTATCGTCATACCAAGGACGATGGGATTTCTAGCGTAATTCGAAATCCATGACGCTCTACCAGCACATGAATGACTCTATAGAAGTGGCAGGTGTGGTTGAATACCCCCCTTTTACTGTAACTTAAAACTAAACAAAAGACTAAATTTGTCTTCTGGGCTCCAATCTATGACAATTCTATTGCTCTGTGCTGTATGTGGTGCGGCAAATCATTACTGCGTTTAATTTTCCAAATAAATCATAAAAATTCATTTTTCTATTTGTTTCCCGAAAACATTAGCACCAGAAATCTTTATATAAGTTTTATATGTCTATATGTCTCATTCCAGAAAATAAGTATTGAAGTAAGCAAAAAGACAAAAAATAATTGTCTGTTAAAAACAAAACAAAAAGTATTTACAATTGAATAATAATTCTAAAAAAATATTCATTCTTATCAGACGACCAGACCAAAAAAAAAAAATAAAATAAAATAAAATAAATAAATAAAATCAGGTATCTTTAAAACTTACTCTTGACTTAGCTCCCACTTTTAACATTGGTTTTAGAACCCCTAATTTTTATTTTGCTGTATCTTTATTTTGCTTCTACACTTGGTAGTGAGTAATGCGCAACTAACACCATTACCAATGAGCCTATGTTAAGGACTTCAAATTAGTGGTAAATGAAAATTGTGTTGTGACAATCTATTGAATGTAAACAGTTTACTTGATTTGAAAATCATCAATGGAAATTATGGCATTATAAAATTATTAAAAATGCTTGAGAAATCCACATAGAAATGGTTGGTGTGTGATTTTATCTCAGTCCTAAGTGTTATATGGCCAACCATAAAATCTATGAAATGGGATCTTCAAAAGCAAACTCACTGACCAAAACAGAATCAAATAATAGATGAATAAGCGAAAACAACTGGGTACAAGTAGTAACAAACCATACGTTGAAGAGTTCCGGTTGCAGGCTTTTAATAATAGTCTCAGTTGAGATTTCGTGGGAGCCGAACCGCTCACTATCGGGTTTGGACAGAGCGTCCGTTGATATATTTCCAATGTTGACCTTTAGAGATGCGTTGTGATAGGCACAGAGTTGGGCAGGGATTTGGTAGGAGAAATTCAGAATTCCTGTTGGTTGAGAGGAAAAACTACTGTTAGTCTGAGATGTCAAAAGTGGACGATGTTCCCAAGTGTTATCTATCTATCTATCTATCTATCTATCTATCTATCTATCTATCTATCTATCTATGTATCTACCTACCTACCGAGACTGTACAAGAGTATCCATGAATAAATACCGAAATACACTGAAAACAGGGTTCGAGACTTCATTTCTTGCAGAGGCATTTATTGTTACCGTTCGCTTCCCTGTGAGCGTGCACCGGTTTTCCCAGCTTTTTGTGCACACCGACACGAATGAAAATAGAGATGAAAATGTAGGATTTCATTGTCCGATCCAAGAAAAGTTGACAGAGAGCCCCGTTGTATGATTACACTAAGTAATCTCGTAATAAATTTTTTATAATAAGAGAACATCTCAAGAAGACACTTGTAAGAATTATTTCGATGGTGCAGTGATTTTCAATTTTCAGTAGTTATCCCACTACTATATTCAAGTACCAGACTAGATTTTACTTGTTACCTACCTTGCATTTGTATTTTTCACCAGCACCGGAAATTGGTGTTTGTATCCAGTAAAAAAAGCCAGAATTTCGAATGTTGATTTTCTAGGCAACAAGTTTTTCAAAAAAAAAAGATAAGTAACACAGCAAATGATCTTACTGTGGCAATTATTCATTTAGTCTTATATTGTTCCAAATATAAGCTTAGTAAATATATAAAAAAAAGTGTAAGAAGGAAAGGAGAATCATCAGACAAGAGTATGTACGTCATCATCGTCTTGCCACAATGTTTCCAACATAGGCATGTGTACAGTATTAACCTATATTTAGTAAATATCAAAAAGCACATGAACAATGAAGATGAAGATGAAAGGAAGTAAATCATGCATGAGGTAAGAAGAGAAAGGGTACGATGAATGGAAAGGGAGAAAGAGGAAAGATAAAAAAGAAGAACGAAGAGAAATCAGAAAGTAAAAAAAGGAAGATGTAAGGGGTGGGGAAGAAAAGAACGAAAAAATGAAAGAACGAAGGAGTGGCGGAAAGATGAAAGGAAAAAGGAATGAGGTAAGGAAAATGGAAGGAAGGAGGGAAATTAGAAGAAGGACCAAATAAGGAAAAAAGGAGAATATAAAAAGAATGAAAAACAAAAGAAGATGAATGATAACGATGAAAGTTATGAAAGAAACAAACATGAAAGGAAAGAGAGAAAGAGGAAAATAAAGAAGAAAGGTGGGGGTGAAAATAAGAAAGTAAAAGAACGCAGATGTAAAGAAGGAATGAAAAAATGTAAAAAAAGGAAAGAAGACAAAAGGTAAAATGAAAGGAATGAACGAAAGAAAGATGAAAGTAAAGAGAGAATGAGGAAAAGAGAAAGGAAGGGAGGAGGGAAAGTAGAAACTTAAAGAAGGAGAGACAGAATATGAATAGAAGGAAAGAAGAGAAAATGTAAAAGGAATGGAAGGATGAAATAAATGAAAGAAAGTTGAAGGGAAAGAGAGAGAGAGAAAGGACAAGAATAGAAGTTAAAATGAAAGGCAATGAGAATGAAAAAGGAATAAACAGTAAATGGGATGATGGACGGAAAGCTGAAAAGAATGAATGAGCGAAAGAAATATAAAAGAAAGAATAAAAAGGTTAAGAAAGAATGAAAAAGTAAAGTTGGGAAAGGGACGAAATGAAAGCATGAAAGAGAGTTAATAAAGAAATATAAGAAAGAAGAAAGGAAAGAAAAGAAGGAAAGAAAAGAAGGAAAGAATTAAAATTGAAGGAAGAGAAAAAGTTAACATAAAAGGAAGAAAGGAAAGATCAAAGGAAGACAGGAAGTGAAGAAGAAGAAAAGTAAGTAAAAAAAGAAGGTGCAAAAAAGATGAAAGGAAGATGAAAGGAAATAAGGCAGATAGGATGGAAATTCTAAAGGAATGGTCGGTGGAAGAAAGGGAAGGTCTAAGGTTATGAACTGGTGCACAAAATAAAACAAAGAAAGAGAAATAAATAAAATAAAGCAATAAGGAGACAAAAAAGAAAAGTAAACAGAAAAAATAAAATATTAAGTAAAATAATTTTTTTTAGGAAAACACGGAAACGAAAAGAAATAAAATAAAAAGCAAAAATAAAGAAAGGAAGAAACGTGATTGTAAACGGAATTGTTCATGATTTAGGAAGGAAATTATTAATTAGGAAGAGGGAGAATTTAAGAAATCAACCCTTAGGTTGTGAACTTCTAAATTTTAATCTAATCAATTATTTTTAAAGACAATAGATTGAGTGAATAATCTCTCTATGTGCGCCGCCATTACCGCTCCCAGCTTCACATGACACCGCTTGTACATCGAGCATTTAATTAAGAATCAAATTAAGTTGCATCAAAACGTCCAGAAGATGTTAAGCTTATTATCAGTAGTATTAAATGAAGTGACATTATTATCCCAACCTCAACAAGCTTACATTTTTTGACATTTTTTACCAGATGTTAAAATCGACATTGATTACTGGATATATTTCTAAGAGGCCGGAGAACACAGGGGCCAAAATTACGAATGTGATTGTGCTATGATTTATCAAATTATGAAATTTCAACTACGGATGTCAGACGTCATACATATTCATATCAAGTATTTTTTATCAAATCCACTTTAACTATATAGAAATCGGGAGAACTGTGTGATCATGACATTTTATACCATTGTACACCGAATACGAACCCCAAGAACCACTCAAGCTAGAGTATTATTGAATGAAATTGCTTTATGGATATAAGATGAAGAGGAGGAGTCCATGGGTGCAGATGTATATGTAGGATAGATAATGATTATCCCCAGTCATGAAGATATTAAGATTGTATTGATCAAGGAAGCATTCATTCAGGAGTCTGTTCTTCAAAGCAGAGGCACTTGGGAAGAAAGTGTCTGAATGGAACTTGTTTCTCACAAATGAAATATGAAGGTAATGAGGATGATATATTTCTGTGTGTATATATATATATATATATATATATATATATATATATATATATATATATATAATTATTTTTTAAAAAAATTATAACATAAGTATGTTATAAAATCACTACAAAAATAGCCATTTTGTTTCAACACACTCTGTGTCTTATCAAGTGATATATATATATACATACAAACATATGATAAAAGTATAGTTTTAAGGTGCGATATATTTCTATATTTCTATTCCTGATATTGAGCACTTTAACAGTGGTCTATATCAGGAATAGAAGTATATAAATATAAAAGTGTACTTTGATGTCAATACAAAGCTGCGACAATCGGTTTCATGCTTAAACACAATCGTCATCTCATATATATATATATATATATATATATATATATATATATATATATATATATATATATATATGTGCATGTTTCATTAAAACGAGAGGCAAGGTACTACGGTTAAGCTTTTTATTTAATTTTTCTTGTGTTGGAACAAGAACTTTCTTTTCTGGACAAAGGGTGTGTAAGAACTGTCCGAATGTTTTATATTTCCGAGCGCTTTCAGCTATACCTTTAGCCATTATCAAGGATGATTCGATTTTCAGCTTAGTTGAGTTTGTGCGTTCTGTGTATGTATCAGTGTGTGGTATATATATATATATATATATATATATATATATATATATATATATATATATAACATTTATTTTTATGTACACCTTCATACTTGAATACGTTTTCTAAGAGAAACCATCATTAAAATTTCTCTCTTGAAAAATTTAAACTTTTTTCCAATTTGTTAAGAAATGGAAAATTTAAAAATTATTTTTTTTTTAAATATTTAAAATTTAAATTTTTTATCATTTAATATAAATTTTTACTAATTTTTTGATACTGATAAATTCCCCGAAATCCTTTCAGGTTTGATTCATTAAAATATAATAAAAATACTTGAATTACTAGAAAATAAAATATTAGAATATAAAATATTTGAAAATAAAAACAAACGCCCAACAAAATTTTAGAAAAAGGTGTACCGCCATTTATTGAAGAGCTGCATAAAAAAAGTATTCATAATTAAACCGACTGATTTTAGTTGATATTGTTTTGATTTAGAAATTAAGTTGAAAGAATATATTGAATTCATTGCTAGGTCAGTTGCAAAGAAAGTTGGTTCATTGTATTTTACTAGACATTTTGTTTTTCTCCAGAATCTATCATACATATTTGTAAGTCTGCCATTTGTTCATGCTTAGAATATTGCTGCCGCATATGGTCCGGTATCCTTGATATATATTTCGAGATTCTTGATCAAATCAAAAAAAAAAAAAAAAAAAAATCAGCAATATTATTGGTCCTGACCTAGCGTCTCGGCTTCCATCGCCGTAAAGTTGCTTCCCTGTGTCTTTTCTATAAACATTTTGATGGTAATTGTTCGGAAGAGCACTTCGCTATGGTACTTAGATTTGATGAACTTAAGCCCAGCACTAGTTTGGCAACAAGGTCTCATCAAATTACTGTTGAGTTGGCGAGATGTAAAGTACTATGATATTCTCTTCTCGCACTTCTCGCCTGTGGAACATTCTTCCGGCAACAGGTTTTACAGTCTCGTTTGATCTTCAAAATTTTAAATGCAATGTCCGTCATTATCTACTGTCTTCCTGATTACTCGTCTATTGCCCTTGCTCCTTAGTAATGTTTCTGCTCTAAGGTACAAGTGGTTACGTTTGCTGCCATGCTTGTGTTTAAAAAAAGATTTCCTAGTTTTTCGACTTGAATATGAATGGAACATAATCTATTAAGCTCACCATCGTGTCGTTAAATACAGCTCACCAATAATGAATTACAGTTAAGCAAAAACAATGAATGTCAAAATATTATTTGAATTTATTACATGGAACATTATAAAATATTATTCATTTTCGATTAGTTTTTCATTTTATTTCTGTTCCTTTTATTGCAACTTTCGGATCGTCAACCTACAATCGTTAATCAGTATCCTGGATTGGTGATAATTATTATATTTTTTACTAAAATTTCTTTCATCTTATTTCTCTTGCGCAACTCCCAGCTGTTAAAAAAAAAAAACATCATCGATCAGAAAAATATTATTATACACTTTTGACTATTATTTCTTTCATCTTAATTTCTCTGGGATTTTATTGAAACTCCTAGATCGTTATTTTACGATCGTGAGTCA